TGAGAACTAAGCCAAAATATGTCGATGAGGAACTTCACTGATTCAACAACGGTTCAAAAACTTGAAGCTGAAGCTGGGAAGACAATGCAAAGAACAGGGAACGCCAGCCAACCGACCAAAAAGCACTGGTCCAAGCAACTGGAGGAGCTTCTAGCTGATGGGAACTGGAGAAGCACAGTGGAAATTCAGAGCATCCCCCGCGGACGAAACTGGAACCACGCAAACAAAACGGCATCCCCTGGCCTCGGAAACAATGGCAAGATCAACTGGACCGCGAGCACCGACCTTCCCTAAATGCACCATCGAGAATGAGCAATCCCACAAGCAGCCTAACAGAGATCAACCGAACAGCATATCTACCAACAACGAGGGAACCACACACACACACACACACAAACCCACCCAAACACACACACCCAAACACACACACCCAAGCACACACACCCAACCACACATACACACACCCAAGCACACACACACACACACCCAAGCACACATATATACAAACATTTACGCATTCCCACACTTACACACACACACACACATGCGCGCGCACACACACATACCTACTGTGACGAACCTTAGATCAATACTCGTTTCTGAGAGGGTCGGTATCTACGGGCATTTCTGAATGGATTTTTACTCCCTCAGTCAAAGGCTAAAACATCAATCGTAAGAAATATTTGGGATGTACATACTAACCTACACAGAAACTTCGGAAGCCGAAATCGAGGAAGAGAGAGAGAGAGAAAAATCCCAATCAAAAAAGTAGGTGAATGTGCAAAGCACGAGGCCAAAGGATCTCCGGAGCCCAAGCAGTACGCGAAAAACACCAAACCATGAACGAAGTGTCGAGATGCAAAAATGCGGAAGGTTTTTTAAACGTTTTTTGCAGCTATGCAATGCAGAAAACGCATATTAACAAGGGGCTGTCTGTGTGTGCGTCTGTCACGGTTTTTCATCTGAAGACCTACAAAAGCTACAGGGCTGAAACTTTGGGAACTTAATCTACATGCACGTACGGGCCCAATCCACAAAATGGGCACTCTTGCCCGCGCGGTATCCATGTACGGGCCAGCCAAAGTTTTTTCAGGGTAAGTTGCTAACTCGAGAATTTGAAAAGCTAGAAGACTGTAACATTAAGAGGATATTCCCGGTCCACGTAAGACTTAATGAGCTCAAACTCAGACACCGGATATGCGCGGTTCCCATGTACGGGGCGGTGGAAGTTTTTCTCGGGCAAACTGCTAACTCGGGAACCTGAGAAGGTAAAGGATTGAAATTTTAAGGGGATGTTTTCTGACAGTTCTGGCGGGCAGTCTTAATTTGTTTAGCTAGAAGCATCTGCTGGAAAAACCGTTGCCAGTAGTGAGAA